GTAAATATTAATATCATGAAGGATATGTATTACGATTATTGGTAACTAGCTGTTCCCGTGCGACTTCATCCGCATAAAATTATGAAAATTTTATTTTATTGTTTACATGTGTCAAATTATTAATTGAAAATGTCAAAATGACATGACATGACAAATCAGTGCAACCTTGCTTTCTTGATGTTGGCAGCAACTTATGATCTCTTTCCCACATTAGGGTTTTTATCCAAAATATTTACCCCCAAGTTTAATGGCGTGAAAATATATAGCTTAAAGCGTGACGTAAGTCTACGGCTTTTTATTTAAAAAAAAAGTTGTTCGAAAATATGCTGCGATTGCTGACATCTTAGGCAACAAAGTAGTGTGTGTTTACGCTTTATTATATTATTATAGATAATGAAGTTGTTCTTTAAACAAACCGTAAAAGAACATAATCGAATTTGTCATACATTGAAATAACCAAGAGCAATGGAGATTAAATAGTAACATATAAAAAGCCTTACATACTCGTAAAATCACTTATTATCACAAAACTGAAGTCACAATGAAGCTGTGTTTGATAATTCGTAAGTTAAATATTTTTTATATTGATCTTTAAAGTCTTTAAAAGTGTGTTAAAACTGAAATTCAAAAAGTTAAAGATAACCAAATCTTAAAAAATACATACAGATACTTTTAAATGTTTTAGTAAAAGCCAAAGAAATATAAAGTGCGACCTAAATCACTCGATTGTAAATAAGCTTTCAGCCGCGACTCCGTCCGCGCAGAATTAATAAAAAAAAAACAAATGTGAGTAGCCTATGTGTTCTTCCAGACTATCCTCTACATCTATGCCAATTTTTATTAAAATCCGTTCAGCCGTTTCGGCTCAACATCCATACATCACTCTAACAAACATCCATCCATCTAAACATTCGCATTTATAATATTAGTAAGATTAATTAATTATTTAATGTATAAAATACTAGCTGTTGCTCGCGACTTCGTCCGCGTAGAATTATATAATAATACAAAATATAGCCTATGGTACTTACTGATAACGTAGCTTTTTAATGGTGAAAGAATTTTTGAAATCGACTCGGTAGTTTTTGAGTTATTTCGATACAAAAATACACATCTTTCCTCTTTATTATAAACTCTTTAATAAAAGTATAGATATAAATGATGTTAAGAGTTGTTCGTACTACTCTAGTAATTTAGTAGAGTTAATTCAGTAGTTTGAACAATACATCGAAACGGCTGGGCCGATTTCGCTCGGACTTACACTGAAGAGTATCTGACATAGACGGGCATATCATATAGGCTAGTAATCAAATACAACTAAATAAAAAAATTTCCAATAGACTAACTATAACTACTAAATTACTTTGTACTGGACCAAATTACTGGAGCAAACTAGTCTTTAACACATTCCAAGTTCACCACTCAGATCCGAGTGGGGCGAGGCTATAGGCGCCACACCGAGGATTGGATCCGAGTGAGCGTGCCGTTCATTTTGCAGTAGTCAGAAAAAACACTAAAAGATATAATAACAATATACGTATATTCATATTTTCAAACACACATACGTAATTAATCAAAATTCGCCTTAAAAAGTTTTGGTTCCCAGCTATTATTTTTTGACCGACTTCCCAAAAGGAGGTACTCAATTCGTCTGTATGTTTTTATGTGTGTTACGACATATTATTTATTTTGTAAGCAGTGAATGACTATTGGATGCTAAAGTCTAAGTTATGATTTTTTATTTCAGTGTCAGTTATGATGCTTGCTACTTCAAGTTGGGCCCGGTCGTATATTGATATTCTTTGCCGTTGTCCCCCCGGAGATCCAGTTTGTGCCAGCAATCTTGTCACTTACAACTCAATATGTAACATGAGATGTGCTGAAGAAATTCTCAAAATAAAACTATATGTTTTATACCCAGGGAATTGCGTGAATTAAACACAAGATATGAAATATTCCTTCTATATTCTTGTATTTTAACTAAATTTGCTAAATTGAACACATTTATTTTGGCTTACAAATTCATGGCTTCATTACTTTTGTGACTTCATTACAGAAAAATCTCAAATAAAATTTTAAAAAATCAATTGTGTAATTTAAAAACACCAGCAAACCATTTATAGTTAACGATAGACTTAATTTTTTTTTAAATTAAGAGATTTAATATGCGTGGAATTTATACACCTTAATTAAAATGCGACACTTACAGCCAAATTCTAAAACGAATTTTAAATCTGTCAAAAGTTAACAGAATTTTTGTTTTAAGCATGGTTTTATCATTTAAACATTGTGACATATTTAAATATTGTTTCAATATTTGGCTGAAAGCCGTTTAACAGTGACATAACATTATAGATACTGCATCTAAGTGTGACAGTAAGAGAACTAAATTAAAAAATAAGACCTATTTACTGTCATCATAAAAAATTAAAATACATAATACAATAATTATAAAAAAAATCACAATAGTCTACAGGGAAAATGCTAGGTATATTCAGCTCTGGTTAGCTCCTTTCCCTTTCCACCCTTTTCTTAAGAGGAAAGAATGGGAAGAAAAAGCACATTTGACGGTGGATGAGATGTCAATGAAGGGTAGACAACGCATCTATAATTGCGGATGTTTATGGGGAGCGGTTGCTTTCCATTTCGGTGGATTCAGGTGGCCTCTTGCTCGTTTGCCACCTTATATTATACAAAAAATAATACCGTAGGTTAATCACAAAGATATGTTGGCTCGCAGAGTCTACCGATTACCCATGCCATCAGCCAAATCCTACTTTGCACAATGGACGGGATCATTTATTCAGTTTCATATTTATAATTCTGCAGTAAAACACTGTGACTTATCAGAAAAATCTTTGCCACAAGCCAAATCCATCATACTGGATTGGCTGCTCACTTTAAACTACTCTGATACCGAGAACCTTCTGAAGATAAATTCATAACAAATCACTACTATAAAAAAACTGGATTATGATACTGTGATATATTTACATATTATTAATATACTCGTACCATATATATTTACATACATGTAATATATATACATAGTTATATTCCCTTTATTATCATTTATATACTTATTTTTCTCTTACATTTAGTTATAGTTAAATTTATTTCTGAATAACTTATAATTAAATGCGCGTTATAGACGCTGCCCTGAGTTTGGGTTTCTGTAATTTTATGTATGGATACGGATAGTATATATGAATTTTCAGTGGCCACGATACAGGCATTGCCTAGTGTGGCCATCAACAGATGAACTCGAATAACCAATATATTACTATATACTTAAGATAACAACTATGTTTAATTTTCTGTCATGTATAATTTTAAGTTATTGTCAAAAGTTACTTGTATAATCTTCACTGTTAATAATAAATATTTTCATTTTCATTTTCATATCAAAAACACAATTAAATGCTATTTAGTCTGCTTCCTTAAAAAAAAAACAAAGTGTTTTTTTATTTTTAATAAGCCGTAAATAAAACATTACCTAATTTGTCATAGATTAAATAAACCAAGAAATTTTTTAGATAAAAGATAAATAAACGCTTATATAAGTGAAACATTTTAATGCATATTACACAAAAAATTAGAAACTCAAGATGAAGCTTTGCTTGATATTTTGTAAGTTATTTTATTTAAATCAGTTTTTTAAAAACACTAACATGGCACAGGGAGGATACTATACTGTAGAGCATGTACTGATCATGACCTCAAGACATTAAAAAATACCTATACAAATCTTTCTTAATGGAGGCTTATGGCTCCGAATACTGGTGTTAGTTTTCTAGCCTTTTTCAATCACTCTTGTAGATACCAAGGTTGGCCATTAAGACATTTTCATCAATTTTCAAAATCTGTTGTCTATACTATTATAAAGAGGAAAGATTTGTATTTTGTATATATTTGAAATAACTCATAAACTACTGGGCCTATTTGAAAAATTCTTGCACCATTAAAAAGCTATATTATCAGTGAGTAACATAGGCTGTGTTTTTAAGATTTATTTTAATTCTACGCGGGCGAAATCATAAGAAACAGCCAGTATAGAGTAAAGGATGCATAAGAGACTACAGACTTGAACAGCTAAATCAGTGTGTTGGCAAGACATGGACTGATCAGTTCAAATGATAGTTAAAATTTTATCTACTCTAAAGTGAATAGTTCTCTTCATATGTAGCGGATTAACATTGATGATTTGAGGTCAGTAATATATTTCTCATTACAGTGTCTTTCATTATGGTAGCTAATGCTGTATGGACTACTCCTCCGCCAGGCTTTGTTTGTGTTTGTGCTCCAGGAGACCCAGTCTGCGCAAGCAATCTTGTAACATATGACGGTGTATGCAACATGCGTTGCGCGCAACATTGGATCAGACAAAGGCTATATGTAGTTCACGAAGGACACTGTTTGGATTAAATCAAGCAAGCTTATGAGTTTAAGAAAAAATCTTAGAAAAAATTGGAGCACATTTCTGTAATTTTTAATTGGAAATTACTCTCAACATTAAATTCTAAATTCATGTGCATCTTTGTATATTATTTTTTAAATTTCCCTGTAGGTCTAAATTACAGATTTTTTGTAAACAATATTACAAAAACACAATTATATAATAATGTATAGTAACAATGGCGACATATTATAAATAACTATAGCAAAGATACAGAAAACTATGGAAACTCAAATGAGTGTGCATACAAGAGGCTTAATTTTTAATCTGTTTTCCGTTCCAAAATTTCATACAAGAAAAAGAAGAAAGACTATTTTAGAGATGTGACACAAATAGGTATATAACCTCATTCTGTGCATACCCTTATATATCCATGTACATATCCTTCGTTAGTTAAAAATCAGCTATTATATCAGCATCTACAAATGCAGATGTCTATGGTCAAGGCTTCACTATTTTGACACTGGCCAGTTAGTTATTTGGCATCTCATAATAAGAAAAAAAAAATGTCGGTAATATACTTGTATATATAAAAGCCACTTACCCCATCAATAATCTGACAGAAATGTACCGCAACACTTGCACTGCTTATATTAGAGAATTTATTAGATGAATGTATCAGAACTGAGATCTTCTTCGAGCGAATCTTTGTTGCTCTATAACCAAAGACAAATAGCATAGAGTCTATCACATTGCTCTTTCCGCTTCCATTTGGCCCAATGATTGCTGTGAAACTCTGAAAAAATGGATTTTATGAAGAACTATTGAAAAATCAAGGAATATTGGATATTCATAACACAAAATACATGTTAATGAGAAAAAGTCTATTGACTATTGAATTTTTGTCTATATAGTGTGCTAGCTGTTACTCACGACTACACCCGCGTGAACTTAAAAATTAATAAAAACATGTAGCCTATGTTACTTGCAGATAAATTACTTTTCTAATGGTGAAATCAGCCCAGTAGTTTTTGAGTTATTTCAATACTTACAAAAATACAAATCTTTCCTCATTATAATATTAGTATAAATATACACTATTTTACATGCAACTATTTTATTACAATATTTATTTATGTTATGTGTCCGTCCATGAAATTAAAAATAAACAGAAGCAGAATGTTTTTCTAAAATATGTTCTACATCTGTGCCAAATTTCATCAGGATTTGTTGAGCCATTCTGGAGATATATTTTAACAAACATCAATCTATCCATCTATAATTTTGAATTTATGATATTAGCAAGTGAGATAGAAGCACATAAGCAAGTAGATCATCTAGTGCTAAGTGACAGCAACTAACATACATTTGCAACATTATGTGTAACAGCCTTAGCCACTATTATTGGACAGGTTCATGTTTGATAAAAAGATATTTCATTTTCCTATTCATGCTGTACTATATAAATACAAATAACAAACAAAACAATTAACCTTGTGGAATGGTCCCAAAACTTGCACTCCCGCGTAACTTTTAAAATTTTCATTTACAATACGAGTTATTATTAATCTTGGACCATTAGCATCAAATGTAAGTGCCGGTTTAGGCGCTGGTGGTATATATATGTCTCCAATGCGCACTCCGCCTTCTTCATCATCAGAAATGTGATCTATATCTCCATTCACATGACCGTTACTACAACTTGGTTCACCATTTTGGTTTTCGACAGCATTTTCGTCCACCTCCATAGGCTCTTCTTCGCCCCTCTTCTTTTTCGTTTTCTGCATTACTTAACCTTCTATAGAATCTTAATATGTGATAAACTTTTACACTGCTGTATATTGTTTAAAACAATTTAAACGAAAAACGACAACGGACAAAATATTCTGACAGTGACAGATGTCAGATTAAATAACAAATCCTGACTTTTGTTAAAAAAGATGGCCTGGTTACAAGTATTTAAGCCATGTCTTTTTTTCGTGCTATAATTTAATAAATAACTAGCTATTGCTTGCGACTTCATCCCGGTAGAATCATAGGTAATTTTTAAAAACTTTAGCACACAGAGACACACACACAGAACACATAGACTTCTTGCAAACTCATTTAATTACATAATTCCGCGCGAACGAAGTTGAGAGCTACTTTTTTAATACGATATGGGATCGACCGAAAAGTAGTATTTAATCAAATGGATATATCGCAATATAATCTTTAATATCGATACAAACCACTTTCCTCAACTACCCTTCGGTGGCTGCGAAGAAGGCTTATAAACGGCTTCGAATATAACAATGGATTGATGAACCAACCCAATGGGTGGGCCGCCAAAGCTGAGTTATTTCTATGGATCGTGTTTCTTTAACACATATACAAACTCCTACAAATGTCCATCCATCCGTCTCAACTTTCTCTTTTATAATATTAGTAAGGTGATTTTAAAAATCGGACAGGCAAAAATAATAATTTACGCACAAACTTATACTAGAATTCTTTATTTTAAAAGTCTTAATTTTTGGTACTCTGACCAAAATTACGAACAAAGTTAATTACATTGATTCGTTTTTACAATTTAATTGTAAAAATAACAATTGTTGAATCTTTTGGGTATCAAGGTCTCTGTCGTATAAATCATTACATGCCGTAATATAATTTTCACATGGCATTCGTGTGGCTAAAACGTTCAGATGTACGCGTGCAAGCATTGCTAGTCGCGGGTACGTACTTTGATTGTCTTTCCACCATTCTAATGGAGAACTGTGTCTCGATGGTATTTTATCGTCCAGATAATTTTGGATTTCTAATTCAGCTTTAGAGGAAGCGCTTGCTGATGTCCGAGTATTGCTCATTTTTTTGTTGTAGTGACTCCAGATAGAACTGTCGTTTTCTATACTATTGTTCGATGTGTTTTCGGCCATTAATTCTTCTTCTTCGTCAGCTATCAATGACGTAATTAACCTAGTGACGTATTCTTTTGTTGAATCTGCGATTTTTTCCTTTTCAAAATAAAGTTTATATCTCGGATCGAGAAACATACTTGTAGTATAAATGCGATTCTCTTCTAAAACGGACAGTTGGCACACGAGACCATCGAAAATATGTTGTCTGATCATTTCAATTGCATCAGGCAGAGGTTCGCTACTTAACACAAATTCTACCAATGCCGACTTAAGGGCAAATGTTACTGGAATTACAATACTAATTGGCACATCTTTATAACCGCTGATTTCTTTTATCACTTCGTCACAAGGATTTAAAAGAGAAACGAGCTTTTCAATAAAGTCCCAGTCGTTTTCAGATAAGATAGTTACATTTAATTCAGAGAGGTCATTTTGAAGTACTTCCTTGAGCTCTATTAGTTGCTTCGACATCTCAAATATGGAATCCCACCTAGTTGTTAGTTCTTCGTCTGTTTTATTGTTTGCTTTAAGAATTTGGTCCAAATGTTCTTCTAACATTAAGTCAGCGATTGTACTTTTTTTAACGAGGGCTTTAGTTTTCTGGATTATATTTGCAATAGCATCATTGTTCAAAGCATTGTCAATTAATAAATTTAAGCTTAGTGCATAGCAAGTCAAGTGTTGCCAACCTAAGCATTTTTCAATGGCAAACTTCATAGTAGAATCGTTATCGGACATGGCAACAAAGATCTTATCCTTAATTTTCCATTCCTTTACGATTCTTGTTAATTCTGCCGCTAATTCAGTATGCGAGGATCCAATTGGTTGACACAATTCCAAGAGAAGCGAACGTAAAATCATATTACTATCTATGTAACATCCTGTAAGTGCTAAAAAACAATCACCATATTTAGAAGTCCACATATCCGTTGAGACATATATAGACACAACTTCTAGGTTTAATGATTCCTTGATCTCGGACTTTGTCTTTTCATATAGCGTAGGAAGCATATTGTTTGCGAAAAATTGTCTCGTCGGCAAAGTATAATTTGGAAAACCGAACGCAATAAGTTCACGAAAACCTCTATCTTCTACAATTGAAAAATGTTGCATATCATATATGAAAAGATTCATTATATGACGATCTATGTCGTTTTTATTTTCAACGTGTTCCCGATGTTCGTAAAAAGTTCGCGTGTTCTTAACGACTTGGGGACTTGTATTACGCCTAGTATAACACATACTAACATGTGGCTTTGCTCTTGAAGCTAAGAGCTTCTCTAACGGATTTTTCACCACACTAGTTTCAGTATCTTCAGTACATGCCATTTCCTCATCCGCCGCCTCTGAGGTGGAAGTTGCGTGTGACTTGGTTCGTGAAGGTAATTCAATTGGTATTTGAAGGTGTTTTCTTTCAATATGTTTTGATAAATTAGTTAAAGTACTGTAGGAAAAGTCCAATTCGCAATATTTGCACCGAGCTCTACCATTGAACCTGTCATCGAAGTGGTTCCAAATCTTGCTTGATTTCTTATACCTTTTCCTCTGAAATATAAAGTACACTTTATTTTCACAGCGTAATTAAGACAACTTACCTTGGTTAGGTATTACTTACGAATTAAAAAAAATGTAGTACATGTTTTAAACCTCCTATTAATACATCTGGAGGTAAGGAAAGTAAGGAAAAAAAATAACGTAATTTACCTTTCTTTTCACGGGATAAGAATCAGCATTGTCGTTTTCAGCCTCTTCTTTTGTGACCACCGTCGTCTCCAGATCAGAAGAATCGACTGGGTCACACACTGATAGTTCGTCTAAGTGTGCTCTAATGAAATGTGTTTTTAAATTAGTGATTGTTCCTTTGTATGACATAACAATCTTGCAATATTTGCACTGTGCTTTATAGTTGCCTAAATCATCGAAATGGCACCACGCTTTACTAAATTTTCGCCCCGATTTCTGAAACATAAAACACACAGTTCAACACAGTCACGCCGTAACAGGCCGATATTGGCCTGCCGCGGTATTTAAGCTGGTGAGGACGAAGAAAACTGTCTCCCTCTCGCTATTGCGAAACGAATGTTCAGGTGTATACATTACATTACATATAATGTAAACATTATGTTTTCACAAATCTATAGCAATTTAGTTTATCCTAGTGCGGGTGGGTCTATAAAAACCTGCCACGCACTGGCGGAAATATCATTGGAGGCGCATTTTAGCCCGCCGCCGCACCAGATGAAGAATTATTGATTTTTCTTGCTGCAGTAAATGTGTTCACGTGTAAATTGTAAATGTATGATTTAGCTACCATATTTAACGCCTATAGGTGCGACACAGAAATTGGGTAATAAACAGTTTTTTTATTCGTATTCTAAAAGGTGAAGCCTTAATTATAGCCGTTCCTCCTTAGTTTAAGACCATACTCTCAATTGAAGACGTATTGGTATAGCCTCCAAAACAGTCGAAAATCGTAAAATAAATATAGAGATTCAGCTCACCAGGCATCCCCACTGAGGGGCTCGGAGCCTACCCTAAATAAGGGGTGACTAGGCCATAGTCAACCACGCTGGCCAAGTGCGGGTTAGTTGTCTTCACACATATCTTTGAATTTTTACCAGACAATATACAATTTGGTGGGGTAGGCACTAAATCTTTAAAATAATTTCTGTATTATCTTGATGAGGTATATTACAGCTATGGGATTCACCTGTTCTTCCTCTACGTGTGAATTGTCATTTTCGGACTCTTCTACTGTCACCACCGTCGTCTCTACATCGGAAGAATCAACTTCGGATGGTAATACGTTTTTAAAATGTGCCCTATTGACATGTTTAGTTAAATTAGTAATTGATGTTCTGTACGACATGACAATTTGGCAATATTTACATCGTGCTTTTTTATCACCAATATCATCAAAATGGTTCCACGCCTTGCTTCTATACGATCTCCGATTCTGAAATATAAGACTTAAGTTCACAATTATTTATGTATACTACGGCATTAATCAAAGAAAGATCAACATATTATGAGGTTCCTACTCTTATCTTTTAGAAGAGATTCACCTTTTTTTCTGCCACCCTATCATCTTCGTAATTTGCCGGTTTATCATCTACCTCCACGAAAGCAAAAGAACCACTACACTCGGGTGAAACCTCTCTTGAACAGTGTTTTTCAAGCATGTGCATTGCTAAATTGGAAACTGAAGTTTTATAAGAAATAATTGATTCACAAATTTTACACCTGGCTTTATGATTGCCAGTATCATCGAAATGACTCCATAATGTTTTTTTTGTCGGTGGCATATTCTGAAAAATAAAACAGTTCATATACATTATTGACTACACGACATCCAAATGACTTTTGGCTGAGAACATGAGAGGAATGGGGCAGACATAGGTAGACGAACATTCGATAAACTACTCACATATAAAAGTATACGTTAACATATCTGCGGTTTGCATAAATACACGTCCAGTTGGGGTCAGTGTTACCAATACTATGGCAATTTCCGGCTTTAGAGTAAAGAAATACACAATCTACAGTCTACATCTGCAAGCCTAAAGCCTACGCAGATTCTACGGATTTTAAAAAGTCTACAGTAATTAATTTTCTTACTTAGGATTTCTTTGATAAATTATCTTTTAAACTGTACTGTGAGACATACTTTGGAAAATAGTTTTTATACGAAGAACAAAAAGCATGATTAACCCTTATAGTGGCATGATAGTTTTTTTGATGAAAAGTTTTAAAAAAAAATTGTTTACTGGGCTATAAAAAGTTTTTCATCATCTTTCTCTTTATCCTAATATCGCAGGGTCGGCGCAACAGGACTTTGTCCTCCACATAACTCTATCATACGTCATCTCAGTCATCACTCCCTTCTTGATCATGTCACCTTTCACGCAATCCAACCATTGGCTATAAAAACATCACAACATCAAATACTGATCTTATAATTTTATACAGCTGTATGTATGGTATAATATATAAATAAATGGTATAGCATAAGCGAAAAGTGACCCCCAATTTTAAAGATTTTGATTAATATTAAAAACGTTAATATAGCTACATTTACAATGTTGAAAACCTTTTCCTTTTTCAGTAATGGTCCAGCAAACCAATGAACTTCTTCATACAAATACCATCATTTTTTTTAAAACAACACGGTAAGGTAAAATAAATCATTGGCAACACCGGTTGCAGTTAATAATATAAATTAATATAACCTATCGAGACAAAAATTTATTCATGATATAAGTTAAAAATCTTTATAAGTACTTAATGTACTCTAATGATAAACACAAATGTTAACAATTATGATTGTGATTTTTGATGAATTAACTAATAAATCATATCTACAGTTACAATGAAACTGTTTTATGGCAGTTTCAAACATACAAAAGCAAGAATAAGTACCTATTTAAAACAATTGAAATCCGATGTGGCGTAAATATTGGATCTGGAACGGAATTTGTCATTAAGTATCATCCAATATCTGTCACAAGATATCACTGAGTATCACAACGCATACCAAAAACGTAACTAAGTATTGACAGCTCGAAACTAGTATTTACTGTTTCAACAGTGGGAGGCGGCAGTACTAGTGCCTGGATCTATTGAATCACAGATATCGACAACTGAATATTGCAAATCGCAATTCAATTCGCAATTCCTATCGCTTTCGCGTACAAAAATACTCTACACTTTAGTTCAACGGCATGCGTCATCATAGAATAAGGAAGGAGTTAAGTCCGATAGTTACCTACCGATACATGATCCACCCGTTTTTAATATCGATACGATTGATACAGTGATATTCGAAACTATTCAAAACCATTATTGGATCGATAAACAGATATGGTAGATTGGATCAAACAGTTCTCAATATTTTAAACAAAAAACATAAATTAAAAAAAAATAGAAGTCAATATTGCCTTCCTTGACTAAAAACTTATAACAAAAAAAATTTACATTTCACTAAAAGTATATGGTTTTTGCCAGCATAAAGTTCTAATTGTTATTTAAATAACATTTAATATGATATTAGACCAATTCAATAACAGCCTGAGTATCGATATAAACCAATTTGTTTTTTGTAATCTGTCAAATCTCATTCAGATCTGTCATTGTCTAGTTTGCGATTTTTAATTTGATTTTTGACGAATACTGTTTGAACAAAACCAAAACTAAACACTTTAAAATTGTAGTCAACAAGAGTAATATATGGATAGAAAAATAGATAAAACCTTTATTCGCGGACATTTTACAACTTATTAATAACAATGTAAAAAGTAAAAAAAAAAAAACATTTAAAATAAAGTGATACATACTTTATTTTAAATGTTTTTAAAAGTACATTTTCATTTTCCAGTATTCAGTTGCGTATCAGATTGTTTTTCCACATAGGCCACAAAAATAATAATTGTGAATGATCGAAGTTTAACAAGTATAAGTTAAAAAGGAAGTGGAGTTTCTTACACACAAATCTTTGAATGAGAGGTATGTGGATGAAAGTTGGTGATGTGACTGAGTACCAGATAATTGGTGTGTTTCTTTCATTTACGGATAAAAGGGTAATAACATTGTTAGAATTACCGGTGAACCAACATTCGTATTTTATGACAAATGTTTGCAAATGCCCTTTTTTAAAGCCCTTATAATTTTATACAAGTAGTTAAAAACCACTAATGAAGTATTTCAATTATGTTATTTCAACTACTGGAACACTTGTACAAACATCTGTTTTCTAAAAAAAATATGCTATTGTCCATTTAACTTACCTTTTTGCAATCTGAAAGTTATTCAGTTAGTATGGAATAAAAAAACAATAGAAATAATTGTGAAAATACTTTATTATAACAATAATCACATTATTAGAATTGAAACTAGGTTATTTACAAGTATGCATTATCTAAAGGAGGGCAGGTTGGGAGGGTCCATGGCGAGATCGATCAGCTCGTCAATGTCCTCTGTGTTCCAGAATGATAGCTCCAACTGGTAAAATAATATCTATATTAATTTGGTTTCCATAAATACAAATTTGTGAATATTGTTTCCAGTATAAATGCCTGATTAAATTGTTTAAACTTTCAAACCCCGATGTGTCCGAAACTAGTTGACACCACCGTAAATAATTAATGTGAGTGATAGCCATTAAATAATAAGTTAAATAGGTAATTACTTGTAAACCACCCATATTTGATGTTTCAAAGCTCACATTCAAGTAGAACATATGTGAGCCTTTATATTGTGTTTATACCAGAGAATCAAAAAACATATAGAGGAGGCCCAGTTAGCACATTAATTGTAACATTTTTTGCATAATCTCACTAACACTATCTATTGATAGATTCAATAGGTATTTAATAAATAATATTTAAATGTTTATGTTTTATTTTGCGACACTGTTTATTTTATAACAAAATGTGGAGCTTATTATAATTTGTGAAAACCTCTATAACATGTTAATACAGATACTAAATTTGACAATTGGTATATTACCTTTCAGCAAAAGTATAGATGAAAAAACTTTGTTCACTATACCTCTACATTTTTTTAAATGTCTGGTTCAATTCTGTAGTAGAAATAGGTACTAATAGTACTTTCTAGTATGTTGTACTAATTGTAGTAGTACATAAGAGTTACTAATGGGAACTCCATTGTACTCCTTGTCTATACATTTTTAAAATGTCGAGTTCACATCGCTATAGTACTAATAGGTACTAATAGTATGTTGTACTAGTACATAGAACTACTAACGGGATCTCTGTCAGGCCTGCAAGGTCTGCAGTGCAGGCGTGCGGCGCGGCACTCGCAGCGCGCGGAGGCGCAGGCGCGGCCGGCACGGGCCACTCGCGACCCCACTACTGTAGCGAAGCGACGCGCAGCTCCGCGCTCGCCGGTCAACTTCGCGCCCGCCCACACCGTGCCTGATCAGTATTGCACATTGTACTAATCGTACTAATATTAAGTGAGTTTAGATGGATGAAGTTAGCCTAATGCTGAATTAATCTCAGTGTAATTTGAGTTGAGAAATGTAGAGAATACATAGGCTACTTACAGATTTCTTTTTTTAAATGCCTAACCTAGTTAAATACACATGACAAATGTAACAAACATATCTACCAACCTTTATATGTACCATAGACTTTTTGTATCATTATATTATCGTGAAATGTTTTTTTAATGCAATTTGGAGTTTAACTCTGGTGTAATAATGTTAGTGTCACATTTTAGAGTGGATTTAGTATATGAAACACACAATACATTATTACATTGATTCTGAGACTGAATGGGATTGTTAATAATTAAATTATATACTATCTTGTAATAAAAAAATGATGGAATTAAAACAAAACACGTTAACAGATGTAATAGATTACCGTTGGTCTCCATGGCCAGAGAGATGCAGACGCCGAGTTTGTCTTTGGGCAGTTTGACCTGTTTCCGCAGCGCGGCGTCGCCCGCCACGCGCTCGTAGTCCTTGTTAGTGTACGCTAGTGTACTATCCACACCTGACATATAAGTGGTCTTATAAATCTATACTAATATAATGAAGTATAAACACACCTCTATGTTATGTAGGATGGCAATCACTATATCTTTGAATTATTATTTTTTAATAAAACCTTACAGGTCTGTAGGCTATGTTTTTACGCTATTTTGATTGTTAAGAAGAAAATTAGTACCGTGCAGTAGAATTGGCGCAACACTAGATTATTGGCATTAACGTCACAACTCTAACTGACAGCCGTCAATGTCATTAGATCGATTGGATATTCGTGCGTATTCCTGGCAAGATCTCTAGTGGAGTGTTTAAATTAATATCGCTAGTTACAATTATAATATTTGTTTAAAAGGATGAATTAAAAAAAAACAACATATAATAGTAGTAAAGAAAGAAGATTGCCATAACAACGATAATTGTTAGCCAATGGAAAAGGCCTTCGTTGGAAATTATGCATTTTAATTTTTATTTAATGTTTGCAAAATGTGTCATTTGATATTTTACAAAGGTTTTTATAATTTCCTGCTGATGAAGCTGCACAGAAACAGAAAGTACATACTAGTACTACTTTATTCACTGATAATATTTAATACTGAGAATTTATTGCTAAATGTAGTAAACATTGTGTAAATAACCTAATGTCATGTTCACACTTGATTACTACAGTTGAAGTGTTCCTTAACTGGCCTCTAGGCTTTTTTTATAACATAAGATGGCAAACGAGCAGGCGGCCACCTGAATCAGCCAAAATGGCGAAGCGACCGCTGCCCATAGACATCTGCAATTACAGATGCGTTGCCTACCCTTATCCTACGGAGGAGAAGACGCACATAAATAGGATATTTCCCCTTCATATGCATCTCCTCCACTGTCAAATCCACTTCCCCTTCCCATCCTCTATATATGAGAAAAGGATGGTAAGGAGTAAGGGACTTAAATTAGGCCTCTGGCATCACACTCATCAGACTGTACACGGAATTGCTTCCACTTCACGCCTGTCTTCTGTGTGGTCGTGGTATTACTGGGGGCGAGCCGGCCCTGTGTCGTCGTTTTATTCGTTTCCGTGTACTTGACTGGTTACTTACCGAACAAATACTTAGCGACCCTCTTCTTGGATAGTGTGAACTCATCGTTCATTATAATGTGCAGAGTAACCGAGTTCTCCATCAGATTGTGGTAAATTGTTGAGTAGTCGAGCTGTTAAATAATTAATAAATATAGCATAAGTACTACTAAAAAGCATAACTACTTTAACTAAACATAAATAATTTTCATCAAATAAAATGTAAGTACATAGTTGTGGGTAGGAAATAAACGTCCTCGACTGTAAGATTTTTGCCTATTTCTTCGACATTTTAGCTCTTACGGTATCCCCTCCAGTGTCGAACAATATAAGATAAATAAAATACTGTGAAAAACTAAAATGCTGTTACTTTCTATAGACTTACATATTAAAAACTTGCAAACAAAATTGAACCATATGTTGATAAGCGTTCTTGAAAAAACTTACTAATATTATAAATTTGAAAGTTTGGATGGATGGATGGATGTTTGTAGCCTAAAGTCTAAACTGCTAAACAAATCTCTGTGAAATTTGTCATAGATGTAGAGAATAGTCTGTAAGAACACATAGACTAAACCTTTTTTAATTTTTTATCTCACGCAGGTGAAGTCGCTGCCAAAAGCTAGTTTTCTTACTAGCTTTTATCCGCGACTCCTAAATTACTAGTAGCTCCCCCCTTGATTATCAACATGCCCCAATAGCTCAACGGCTGGCGGTCATCGGAAGCAAAACTCATATATTTTTTTATTATTCCCAACCGTCACCCCGCTCTGTCCCCACGTGGATAAAAAAGTTTTATCCGTCCCACCTTTTGCAACGAATGGACGATTGGAACTTATTTTATTTGATAACGGTTCTATCTATCACCTTATTGGTGATAGTGGGATTGTATGGTGGGACGGAAGAAACTTTTTATTTCCCCATGGGGACAGAGCGGGGTGACGGTTGGGAATAACCCATATTTTAAACAGCTGTCTGTAATAATCTATACTTACCGCCATAGCGTTAACATCGCATCGATCACAGGGGAGTAACAGCAGTGCTCGCGGTGTAGCAGCTCGCAGCGGCAACGCGCTCGCGAACCGCAACGCGGCGAACGTGTCCACACGCGCACAGCTCTCGTTACGTACTGAGTCTGTTTTATCTGTACACATATTGTAATTTACTATGTATATTAATTTAACAAAGCGTAAACACACTACTTTGTGGCGTAAGATGTCAGCAATCACAGAATATTTTTGAATAATTCTTCCTTTAATAAAAAGCCCTACACTTGCGACACGCTTTAGGCTATATATTTTCATGCTATGTAACTTAGGGGGTAAATAAATTAGAAAAAACCTTCATGTGGAAAAGTAACCATAAAAAAGGAAGTAAGATAGCTATGGTTGTCAAACAAATGCACGTTAGTGCACGGCAATAAACTGTATATGGGTTTATTTATCTACATTATTATTATATAATGTTCAATATAATCTTACTAATATTATAAATGCGAAAGTTTAGATGGATGGATGTTCGTTAGAGTTTGTAGCCTAAACTACTGAACGGATCTAGATGAAATTTGGCGTAGATGTAGAATATATTCTAGCAGAACACATAGGCTATTTTCTTTTTTTGTTATTCTCAAGCGGACGGAGTCACAGGCGAAAGCTAGTATATAAAGTCATATACAATATCCCTAACTGTACATACCTATATGGAAGGCATCGAAGTGTCGCGGCACGTCCACTGCGTCAGCAAACAGCTGGTTGTCTACGTACAGTGCGCGCGGCTCGCGGTACACGCCGCTGCCGCCGTACACCACTACTGCGTATCTATATTAAAACAAGCATTACAAAAAAAACATTGACAAATATGATGAATAAAGAAAAAAATATGAAGACCTGTTGAGTATAATGGAATATACACTGTAATAGATGAGACAAAAATTTAATGACGTAACGTCTCTCTCTCTCCCTCTCTCCCTCCCCCTCTCTCTCTCTCTCTCTTAAATTACATACCTATTATCAGAGAATCCATTCCCTTGCAGTTTACTATCAAACGCTTCTATAAATAGATCGATATTCTTCGCTTTTCTTAGATTCTTGTTGCAGTACTGAGCTTCTATCACAAACACCACATCTGTGGAGTTAGGAGGATGGTCCAACTGCACGAATGAACCCTCTTCCACCACATCTCCTTGACTCGTCGTACATCTGTATGAGAAATATAACATCATTAGCGATTTCCCGCTTTCAGTATAGTTGGAATGAAAAAGATATTCTAAAACATTCTCGAAATCCTGTCAAAATTAGTTAAGCCGTTTTGGAGATTACGCAAACCAATCGCCAATAGAAAGACAAGAATAAAAAAAAATATTACAATTTTTGTGTCAATATGATATACTGGTACTTCAATTCAATCTTGTTTCTTGCTAATTCTTACTAATATTATAAATGCTAAAGTTTAGATGGATATTTGTTAGAGTTTGTAGCCTAAACGGAAGAACAGATCTCGATGAAAATTGGTATAATGTAGAGAATAATTTGAACATAGGCCTACTTTTGTTTTTTTATTCCGTGCAAACGAAGTCGCGGGCGAAAGCTAGTAATATATATGCGAGAGTTTAGATGGATGGATGTTTGTTACTACGTATCTCCAGAACAGGTTAACAAATTTTACAATGTGTCTTAAATGTAGAACAATCTTGAAAAACATAGGTTACTTTTTTAATTTGGGCGAACCTAGTTGGACAAAATCATGTATAGTTTTAGTTAATGTCGACTAAGTGTGTCCCTTAGTGTGAGTACTCACTGCACACAATGGTCAGGTATGTGTGTGGGCACGTGCTGCTGCGCGCACAGCTCCAAGTACGCACTCGCCAGCGCGCACGCGTCCGCGCCGCGCACGCACTCCGCGTACAGCGGCTGGGAATCTATCTGGAAATGTATTTTATCTACCCACTTATCCTAATAAGGCGTAATTATACTGTAAATGTTGTAGGAAAGTAGACAATAGCTTATTTTATATTGTAGAATTAATTAAAAAAAATGGTCTTTAGACGAAAATAATAATCTTGAAAAAAATTACAAGTATAGCAGATGTCGCTACTGTAGAGTTAAAGATTTTCATACAATAAATATCCAAACTAAACTTTTTAATTTCCTAGATCTCTGTAAGATTTAAAGACCAAAGTGTTAATTTCTCATACTTACATCCTAGCACATGAATAGCGAAACAAAAATGCTTCGTAAACGCCGCTTACAATTTGATAGACAACAAAATGTTAATGAGATTTTGAGTATACTGAAATATACATGCGTATATGGGACTTTGTAATTGAAGACACTACAAATTAAAGTGTTTTAATATTGAGAGCATTAACAAATGTGTATATACATTGAACAAAATGAATATATAGATTGTATATTTACCACAGAGAAGCAGGGATGCAGGGGAGAGACTTTATTCCTAAAGAACTTGTCGCACTGCGTGTCGTTATCTGCGTGTCGCGCGCGCAGTACTGCGGCAGGCGCGGGGGCGGGGCGCAGGCGCCACGCCGCCGCTAGCTGCGCCACGTCAGCGCGCAGTATGCCGTCCGGCAGCTGCTGCTCGTCGTACTGCTCGTTGTTGTATGTCCCCAATAACCCGCCTAGCGACGCGTAATGCCAACCTAACGAATACAATAGTCTTTTATATATCTATACTCCATACTAATTTAATAAATCGTAAACACATTTCTTTGTTATTTAGGATTGCAGGAAAACATATTTTTGAATTAATCTCTTTTTAATTAGCAGAGATACATTTAAGTCAAGTTTTAAATTAAGAAAGTTCACGTTATTTAATTTAGATGGTGAATAAATTAAAAAAATATATATATATACATATCTACGAGAAAGTACAAACATTAAAAACTAAAAACAACAAAGAAGCATGGTTACTTTAGTTCGCAGCCAATAGCAAGGACCTTCGTTATCGTTTGAGTATTTTTATTTAAACATTTGCAATTTAAAATATACAAAAAAATTGCATTTTTATAATTTTATGCAGATGAAGCCGCACAGCTAGTACCTGATAAGCTATCATACTTTTACTATCAGACAGATTGATGACAACTCCATTTAACAGAGGTAGACGTCAGCAATGGAAGAAGAAATGAGTTTTGTGTGCAATTCTCTCTTCTGTCTATTAAAGATCTCCTTTTGCGGATGTCTATTAACAGTGGTCGCTTCGCAGCATATCATGTACCGTAGTATGTTAGTCCTGATAGTAAAAAAATCCATTTGTTTCGATTACAATCTCACCTGATACTTGTAACTTGCACGTTCTAAACAACAGATTGCACTGTATCTCAAGGCCGCTCTGCCCCTCCACCGTCAGCAGGTCCGTCTGTCTGTGCACTATGAAGTCGTCGACCACCGCCGGCAGACTGAGTGGAGTATCTGGTCCTAAAGATACTTGCTATGGAAAACAGTATGATTTTATTTCAATAGTAAATTAAAATTTTAATTAGTAAATATTCTGTAAATAGGTAAAAAAAGGAAATTAGAGTCCTTATTTCTTTTAAAACTCGATTTTAAACAATGTAATGTACAGTCGCGGGAAATCGAGATGTTCCACTTTCAGAAAAAAATGTCTTATTACTTGTAAGGTGACAAATTTACCTCTCACAAATAATTAATTACTAACTATAAATAACTAAACTAAAAACAGTGACATTTTTAGTACAAACATTTTATATCTGCATCCTATTGGTTGTTCCACGTATTTCAATGCGTACAAAACGTTCAAAAGCAAAGATATTATAAGAATATATAGGGGAGACATATTTGACACTTCATTTGAAACATTTTTCACATAATTATACTATTTATTGTAAACTTGAAAACTGATATAGTACCTTTCAGAGAAAGTACCGGTGAAAAATTATTATTTACTATGCCTAGTCTATGCATTTCTTAAACGTCTTTGTTCAAAAGATATTTAATATAGAACACCGCTAATTCAGTAATACTTTCAGTAATCTATAACATAGAGCAGCAGATTACTTACTTCTGTATACAAATCGACATAAATCAAGTGCTTGTCGGTAAGTACAACAAGGTCGTACTGTCCTCGCGCGTTGCTCTGCATCAGGACAGTGAAGTTGTTCTGGCGATAGTCCTTGGTCAGTAGGAAGGTGCCCGCCTCAGATATTGTGAGCACTTGCTTGTCGAATGTCACCAGTGTACCTTGACCCGTCATCATTGCCATACCTACAAGTGATAGGGGTCTAATAATTTGGTTTGTATTGAAATATTGTTTTTAAATTATGAGTGTTATTAAGAGAATTTTATAAGGTTGTTTTTAGTTTTTTCTATATTATAAAGTGGAAAACTAAAGTGGTAAATGCGTTGCCTATCCTTAATTGACGAAGGAAGAGACGCACATAAAGAGGATATTTCCCCTCCCTGTGCGTCTCCACCATCCAATCCACTTTCCCTTACAATACTTTGCTTATAAGATATGGATAGGAAGGAAATAGCTTGCGGAACGCATATCAGTCTGTACGAATTACTTCCGCTTCACACTTGTCTTCTCAGTGGCTCAGCACTTGACTTGTACCAATTTGATTTTTGAATTTCATATGTACATAATTTAGCCGACGTTTTTGCAGTATAGGAAAACATCGTGATACTACACATATCGGAAAAGAAATTGCAAGAAGTGAGAAGTCAACCAGCGCAGCGTCGACTAAGGGTTAGTCACTCCAACTTTGGATAGGCTCTGAATCCCTTAAAAAGTACAAGTACAAAGTACAGTACGGACGTGTACTTAAACTAAATAATCTACATACCTGCGAATGGTGGCATAACATTATTCAAGTCCATATACGGTCGTATTTCATAGTAATATGACCATATAGTCCTGTTTGATGTGATCCAGTCGTCGAGGAAGTCCCGCACCGCGCGGTACTCCGCTATCTCAGTAAAGTCCGGGGTTCTGTTGAAGGCGTGCCAAGACATCGGCAGTTTTTGTTCTAGACGGATCTCGCCCGCGCGGGGGTCGAATACAAAGTTTGTTTTAGGTATACGATGACTGGAAAAACGTTAAAAAAAGTAAGTTAAACGGTACATAGACTAAAATGTAATAAATGTAGTAGATTTATAAACATACTTGGAGCTTTTTTAGTGTAAAAATAAAGTAGTTATTTGCTTGTGCCACTATCAACATAACAATTTAAAAATATTCCGTAGAAGTTTCAATTGCAAATGTCTAAATTAAAATTATTCAAATGAAGACCCATGCTATTAGAGTAACCATAGCAACCTCGTTTCTTTGCTGCTATTGGTTTGTTTTCATCCCTTTTTAGGGCATTTTTTTACAATTTAATTGTCCCCGAAAGCAAGTAGCTTAGAAATATATAGCCTATAGCGTATTGTAAGTGAAGGGAGTTTTATTAAAAAGGGTACAAATCAAAATACACTGTAATTGGTGACACACTATACCAAAAAAGTGTGTCTATTACTTCAAAGATCATACGGCAGTTGGGAATATTGTGAGGTTATGTAATTATGAAATCATTACATTTTGACCAATGAGCAGCAACTGCACGAGGGAAAGTCGCCATTTTTATAACATCAAAACTAGATTTAAATAAATTAGCATATTTAAAAATTTTGACATGAAAGAATTTCGTAAAAAAATAGGCATTATTTAGCTTATTGGTATGTTAAAGAATCATATGTCTATATAGAGTAGTACTAACAGTTCCTCGTATCGCAGCGCGGTGTGGGCGATGTCCGTCAGCTTGGCGTAGAGCACGCCGGCCGCGC